TGGAAATAATCATCAATTTTTTTTTGTTTAAGGTTGTTATAACGCGAGATCAGAGCGTTGTCCCTCAGTCTTCTCAAAAGTAAAAGTTCTTTGTAGCATGTACCATTCTCTTCAGCCCATTGTAAACCTAGCTCAAAGGCTTTAATTGCGTTTTGTGCTGTGACTTGTGGAGCAGTTGCAATCACGTCGTCGTTATTTTCCTGATTGTTTGTTGTATAATTAGAAACTTCTTTTATAATCTCTTCATCAGACATTTCATGAAAAACATTTTCCTCTTTATCCATTCCACGGCACCAGATTTCAAAATCTTCCGGACTTATCGGTAGCGACTTGTTCTATAACTTCCGAAGTACCTAACACCGATTTGTGGAACGTTGCTAGGAGTGGTGACTATATCTGGCCATAACTTTTTCCAAGACGATTTAATAGTTGATGACGATAACGCATTCTACGACTGACAAAGCGCAAAAACAAAGTCTTTCATATTAAATTCCTTTAAAGATTTTTCTATTGGTTGGTCTTTTGATACGGCTCTCAGAAGTAGGTTTTTCTTATAGTCTTGCTTGACAAACTGAATGATATTCTGGTCCATTGGTTGAATCAGTGCAGTGCAATTTGGCGGAAGAAACATCGCAGTGATGCATTTATCCTCAGTTGTTAGTTATTTTTCAATCGGATGACCGGGAGCGTTATCAAGAAGCAACAACGCTTTTTGAGGAAAATTATGATATTTTAACCATTTTCTAACTTCAGGTATGAAGCATTCATCAAACCACTTTTTGAAAAGGTCTTTTGTCATCCATGCACTTTTTTGTCCGTAATAGTGTACAGGTAAATCAATGTTTTTGAATGCCCGTGATTTATTAATTTCCCAATGACCATCATCTTAAGCGCGTGTGTGCCCGCATCGTTAGCACCTGGTAGTATGGTTACACGCTCTTTACTTACTTTTCGTCCAGGTACGGATTTTTCGTTACAAGAAACGAAAGTTTTGTTAGGCATTACACGCCAAAAAAGCCCTGATTCGTCTGCATTGTACACCTGTGACGGGTCAAGATTTAAATCGTTCACCTTTTTCAAAAATCTTAATTTAAAGGGATCTATGCAGGTGGCATCGTTAGAAAGTTTCTCTCTTGTAATAGTCATTAAACGAATGCCATGACGACTTTTAAAACGTTCCAGCCATCCTTTGCTGGCCACAAAATCATCTTTTTTTGTTATTTCCTTATAAAAAAACTTAGCTTTCATGACCAACATGGTTTTTAATGTCATAAATTGTAGATCGGCCTACGCCGTATTCACTTGCTAAACTACTGAAAGTTTCATTGCGATTTAAGCGGTCTAAAATATCACATTTTTCTTTAATTGTCAATGTTTTGTGCTGTCGCTTCTGAGTGTGTGATGACATTACTAGGTACTATACTTAATACACAATGAATAAATAGTAAACAATGAACGCACTCTAGGCCGTACCGCTATCAACAGTAGTCAAATTCAAACTAAGAAAAACAATGTTACGCGTCGAGCACGATAGCGGTGGCGCGTACAAGTTGTAACCTGTTCAAACCTGCGTGATCTACATTAGCGAAGATATATCTCAGAAACGAAGCGGGCTATGAAAATTTGTCTAATTCCATGTTTCTTTTCACACAAAAGTAGCACAGTATTGCGAAAACCGCGCCTCTATATCTAGACTAGTAAGCGAGATACCCCGTAATGTCATCGAAAATGGGACACTGTACTTGAGATATAATATCCAAAAATATGATATTTCATTTTCCAAATCTTTCCTGATTAACAATACCTCCTCGCGAATTGGCGTAGAAAGTAAAAATTTTGAGGACACCATCGTAAACGGGAAGTTAACTTTGTTATGAAACGTTTAATGATATCAAAGTCTAGGAACAGATTATTTTGCCCAAAAAGGCAAATGCATTTCCTCTAAATGTGAGACAGAATCTATGGTCCTGGTGTTCCTACATGATGGATCTCCACCACATAATAAACGTTCAGTATAGTTCATGAACATCTAAATAGTTTTCGAATAGATGGATAGGGCGTAATGGACCCATTTCTTGGCCTGCTCGCTCAACGGATTTAACGCCTTGCGATTTTTCTCTGTGGGGCTATTTGATTCGAACAAATGGGGACAATTTTCAACAGTTTTTGTAAAACCGGTATCCATTTAACCTGATAATGATTTTACTGAATAATTTTAAATAATGCAAGCTAACTCTCGTAGTATGCAATTTTCAACAAGCTGTTAAAATAAATGACTCAACTTTGAAAGCACCCTGTATATTATAGGCAGGATAATCGAACATTATTTTTTTTTATATCGAAACAGCCGCGCAGGCAGAAGCCTAAATGCTGGAACACCGCGGCTGCTATGATGATCCCAAAGAAATTTTGTTAACACGATTTTTAACTGCCTAAGGTTAGTAGAACTGGGAAAAGCTTCCTCCCGTAGATTGTTCCACAATCTAGACACCCTCGGGACAAAGGAGCGGTCGTATCGGCCAGTTCTGGATGTACGAAGTTTGACACGGTTAGGATGGGACGCCGAGGTCAGGCGGGTCTGTCTGGCAGGCACATCGCGCGGCGGCATCATGGAAGAGAGCTCTGAGGAGCAAAGCCCGTAGGTGTAGCGATAGAAAAGAGCTAGATCGCCGACGACCCGCCGGTGCGAAAGAGTCCCGAGACTGTCTGTTAGAGAAGAGTCAGCGATCAGTCGGACCGCCCTCCTCTGGACAGCATCGAGCATGGACAATGTAGTCGGGGCGGCAGCACCCCAAATGTGTGAGCAATACTCGAGGCTAGGCCTTATTTGGGCCTTGTATAGAGTGAGAAGGTCATGCGGAGAAAAGTACTTCTTAGCCCTAAACAAATAGCCTAGCTTTTTCCCAGCAGCTGCAGCTATTGAAGAGATGTGTTCGTGCCAGATCAGGTCCTCGGTGAAATGAATGGCTCTTTGGTAGAACTCGACCGTCCATCGAAACTGTATGAGCGCTAGGACGCTTTTTGTTCGTCAAAGTACAGTACTGTGTTTTGGAAGCATTGAACTGTACAAGATTGTTGCGTCCCCAAGCAGTGATAGCCTCCAGGTCTCTTGTCAGAGAAGAAGTCGTCGCTAGTCTTCTTTTTTCCAGCTCAGCGGCAGAGATCGGCTTGTCACTCTGAATTCCTGCATGTAGAGTGCTGTTATCAGCGAAGCTGTGGATTGGGTTGATCGTGCAGGTATGGAGGTCGTTGTTATGTAAGAGAAACAGTGTCGGAGCCAAGACCGATCCCTGGGGAACACCCGCGTTGACGTTGTGGGATGAAGAAGAGAACCCGTCAATTACGACGGATATCTTGCGGCCAGAGATAAAACAGCCACCCATCTGCAAAGCTTTTCTGGGAGGCCATAGGATGGAAGTTTGCTTAAGAGTGCAGCGTGCCACAGCTGATCGAAAGCTTTCGTGATGTCAGGAGCAACGACATGAGCCTCACCATGAGACTGGATGAGTTTACTCCACAGTTGCGTGACGTCAGCTAGGAGGTCCCCTGTGGATCGTTGGTGCCGGAAACCGTACTGCCTGTCGCTAATCAAGCTGTGACGTTCGAGGTAGTCCAGAAGCTCGCGATTTATGCACCTCTCCATCACTTTACTTATAACAGAAAGCAGAGCTATAGGCCTGTAGTTGTAAGGGTCAGTCTTAGATCCTTTTTTTGGGATGGGCTGTACATGAGCAAATTTCCAGTTTTCTGGGAAGGTGCCGGATTCATAAGATATCTGGAAGAGACGCGAAAGTACTGGAGCAAGCTCCGCTGCACATCTCTTCAGTACAATGGCAGGAATCAAGTCCGGACCAGAAGCTTTGTTGATGTCCAGCGACAAGAGTACTCGTCTTATGGTCTTATGCCTGAATGTTACCTCCCGCATAGTGTGGGGAACCCTTTGAATTGACGGCACTTGGGCGTTGGTGGGGACGTCCATGGTGGAGTTGTCAGCAAAGATCTTGGCTAGCACTTCCGCCTTGGCCTTTGAGCCGAATACAATAGTTCCATCCTGACACGTAAGTGGTGGAAGGCTACTGTGTGAGAAGTTCTTTTCAATCTGCTTGGCCAGCGTCCAGAAAGACCGACTGCCATTGCGCTGCGACATTACCCTGTGCCTAACTTTTATATCATGCTGGTTTTTGGCATTACGAACCGCTTCGTTATATTTGTTTCTTAAATAGATCTGAAAAAAGCATTCAAAAGTAAGATTAATGTATCTGCATTATTGAAGTCTGTACTGCCTATGACAACAAATTCAAGATTGTCATCGATTTCAAAAGTGAAACATGTCGGTTCAACCCTAAGTGCAAACGTTCAACAGTGATTGGCATTCAAATGCATGTTATTTTCTTTATACCAGTGTTCTATGATATTCAACTGATACAATAATGCAGAAGAGTAGCAAAATACATCGTACGCCACCGTTCACGTGGCGTGTCCTTGAAAACGGTGGGCTCGATGCCCATCAGCTTTGGGACCCGAGTATAGTTTAGATTCGAAAACAGAATCGTACGTTTCACATTTAAATATTTTTCTAGCCTCAAAGAGGTCACACAACAAATACTCTGCGGAAGCCGCATTAAGACAAACCAACACTCACACGAAACCTCAAAAGAAAGCTCTGAAAAGCCGCTTATGAAACGTGTTACGTTTTCTACAGTACGCCATCATATGCTCATTCCGTTTACTTTGATACAGATCGTTTAATTTATGTGATGTCCTGCTGAAACCTTTCCCATTGCGATTTACCCTTGTCATTCGGGATTTTCAACAATAGTCAATTTGGGAGCGCAATTCAAGTGTAATCGAGCAAAAGAAAAGCATTTGCTACACAGGCCATTTCAAGGCAAAACTGGGTATTCGCAAGAATTTACGTGAAAAATATGTTTGAAGGATTTACTTGATTCATTTTTTTGTGCTCGGTAATGGATTAATTAACTTTCTTTTATTACATTCAGAGCTCCATGTTTTTCTGAACAACCGAACAACGGAAAGCATGTAAGAAACTGCTTAGGGAAAAGGAGAGGAAAGATAAAGAAAGACAGTTTTGTGAAATAGAAGAACTCTATAAAAATGGGGAGATTCGAAATCTATATCAAGGTGTAAAAAGACAGAAAAACGGTTTCGAAGCAAAGCAAGTAACGGGTGATTCATTTAGATGTACTTTTTTGGTGTGGCTGTAATTGCTTATGATGCATGCGTCATGACAACTATTTTGACATTTTTTGTTTCAGTATTGTTCGACATTTCATCATGGAAATACTTAGTCCAGCACAGCGTCTACAAATAATTCAGCTGTACTACGAAAATCAACGTTCTGCGAGAAGTGTGTTTCGTGCACTTAGAGCAACTTATGGTGTACATAATCGGCCCACCGAACGCACAATTCGCCGTACGGTCGAAAAATTTGAAACCCAATTTTCATTACTGGATAATACCCGACCAAATAGACCACATCCATCACGCAGTGAAGAAAACATAGGTGCGGTAGCTGAGAGCATACGTGATGACCGTGAAGAATCGATTCGGCGCCGTTCTCCACAGCTTGGCTTGTCGTATTCAACAACTTGGCGTATTTTACGTAAGAATCTTAATTTGAAACGATACAAAATTCAACTCGTTGAAGAATTGAAGCCGGCCGACCTTCCAAAGCATCATCGTTTCAGTCTTTGGGCTCTTGCACGGCTTAAAGAAGATCCGATGTTTTCGAGCAAAATTTTGTTTAGCGATGATGCCCATTGTTGGCTTAACGGCTACATTAATAAACAAAACTGTCGTATTTGGGGTGAAGAACAACCCGAAGTGGTTCAAGAACTGCCATTACATCCAGCGAAAACAACGGTTTGGTGTGGTTTATGGGTCGGTGGAATCATCGGTCCCTATGTTTTGCTAAATGAGGCCGGTCAGAACGTAACTGTGAATGGTCGTTACCGCGCCATGATAACGGATTATTTGCTACCTGAAATTGAAGCCGGTAATCTCGATGACATTTGGTTCCAACAAGACGGCGCCATTTGCCACACGGCCCGTGCAACCATGGCTTTATTGCGATGAACACTTAATTTCACGATTTGGACCAGTGAATTGGGCACCTAGATCATGTGATATCACACCTCTAGACTTTTTCCTTTGGGACTACGTCAAGTCCAAAGTCTACGTTCATAAGCCCAATACGATTGAGGAATTAGAAGCCAACATTACGCAGGTCATTCGCCAAATTCCAGTCGAAATGCTCCAAAGTGTCATCGAAAATTAGAACTTTAGAACAGACCATCTCAACCACAGTCAGGGCTAACATTTAAAAGAAATAATATTTAAAAAATAAATGTCAAAAATAGTTCTTTTCTTTAATAAAAAAGATTTGACAAGAAAAAATAATTTTATTTGATTTTGTTGCTGAAAAAAGTATCTATAAATGAATCACCCATTATTTATAAAGAGTGACGATGGACAACTCATTGCAGATGAAGAAGAAATATTAGCAATATGGAAAGACTATTTCGAGGAACTGCTGAATGAAAGTTTTCGGGAAGACTACGAGCATGGAATTAACGATTTTGAGGAACAGGAAGGGGTGTTGGATGATAAACCAGACCTAGATGATATAAAACAGATTCTAGGAAGCTTAAAATCAAATAAAAGTGCTGGTATAGATTAAGTCACAGGCGAAATGCTGAAATTCGGAGGTGACAAAGTTATTGAGGTAATGCACAGTTTGATAGGGGAAATTTGCGAAACAAAAAGAATGCCGCGTGAATGGAGTGAGGGGTTAATAAGCCTAATGTTTAGAAAAGGGGATAAAAAAAACCTGTAAAAACTATAGAGGGATAGTCCTATTGAATGTTGGATATAAAGTTCTAGCGACCTGTATTAAGAATAGACTTTCTTCGAAAATGTTAGGAAGAATACGATAATACCATTGTGGGTTTAGAGCAGGAAGAGGAGTGGTAGACCAAATTTTTACGCTTAGGCAGATCCAGGCTGAGAGTTATCAACATTAGAAAGATACATACAGGTATGTAGTGTTTATAGACTTCAAAAAAGCAATAAAAGTCAAAGGAAAATCTTCTGAAAAGTTTAAGGTAAAAGTGGCGTTGCGGCAAGGGGATCCGTTGTCAACAGTGTTTTATTCGACTATGTATTGGAAGATAGATATAATCAAAGCAGCAAATTTAAATAGGAATGGTTTATTATACAATAGAAAGCACCAACGTTTAGCGTTCGCAGATGACATTGGAATTGTTGCTAGAAGCAAAAGAGAATTGATACAAGTACTAAAAACACTTGAAGAGAAAGCAAAGGAAAAGGGTCTAATATTAAATCAGGAAAAAACTAAATATATACGATGGACAAATGATTTTATGACAGGAGAAAGTCTAAAGGTAAAACCAGGCAGTGGCAAAATATCAATTTATCTATTTGAGATCAACATTCACAAGAAAACCGGGCACAAGGGAAGAAATCAAAGCAAGGGAAATAGATGTTTATATAGCCTGAACCATCTTCTGAAAAGCAAGTTGATAGGTAATAAACTGAAAATTAAATTATATAAAACAGTAATAAGACCATCAGTTACATTTGCTTGTGAAACATGGATCTTGAGGAAGGCGGATATAAATACCCTAGAAGTGTGGGAAAAAAGTGTGCAAAATTTTTGGAGGGAAACAGAACAATGGGATATGAGAAAGAAGAACAAACCAAGATCTTGCAGATATGTATAAAGAATCACAGGATATATACTGGCGTTTCGGCAACTGCTGTGGCCTCTTTTAAAGTTCAGATCAAAACGGCAACGACAATATATTTCATATTTATCTGTCTTATGGGTGACTTTATTTGATTTTCCTCTACACTATACAGTGTGTTGGAACAAATACCGCACCGAGATCTCGCGAAGCCATCACCAGAATTTCCAGATGGCACCGCGCAAAACCAGTAAACCCTACTTCCCCCAAAGCGACCAGCGAACATGATATCTGTTGTTTCGGATATACCAGACACGTCACCCTCGCTCATCGTCCCGAAGACGCCAAACAAATTCGAGCACGCCCAGAACTTTTGAAATAATTTGATATAAATTATTAAATACACGTTTTACAACGTAATCATTGTGAGAATTATCGTTTTTACTCTTCTTACTGGAATGCTTCTATTAGGGTGTCCCAAAAAATTAAAGTTCTTTTGTTTCAAACGCATATACTCTCGTCTTTTTCCATTTAACTCAAAAAATGAATATTATTGCGGTCTGGAAACGATAACCGGTGCGGACTTTCAGCTCAGACTTTGGATTTGAAAGTTAATATTCGGCAAATAAAACACTGCTTTATTTACTAAATCGTCTTTTTGAAGTTAAAGTTTTCTTTTTACAGTCAGGATATACAGGGGTGTCTGCGAACGGTTGTGAAATTGGAAGATCTTCCATTACAAACACGCATGAATATGTGGTTTATGCACGACGGCGCTCCATCTTATTTTAGTATATCAGTTATAGAGCACCCAAATAGAGTTTATCCAGACCAGTGGATAGGCCGATCAGGACCTGTATCGTGGCCGGCTAGATCATCAGATTTAAATCCTATGGATTTCTTCGTCTGGGGTGATTTAAAACGACGCGTTTACAATACGCCAGTGGAAACTGTAGATGATCTTCGACAAAGAATTTTCCACCATAGCCAGGAAATGAAAAATAACATCCAAATGCTTGGGAGAGGTAAGGTGGCTCATTTGAACAATTTTTGTAGTTATTCGTTTATTAGTTTTGTTGCCATTTGTTGTTGTTAAAAACCAAAGTAAAGCTACTCAGATATTATCCAATGTAACTTGATTATTATGTTATAATGTTTCATAACTCCAAATTTAGTGGCATCATTAGATAGGTGTCAGTTAAGTACGAGAAATGTTGTTCTTATTATTGAAGCAACCATTGAGGAACTTGGACATAACACTGACGGGTTTCCTATAAGCAAGTCCTTCATTTCAAGAATTCGTACCGAAAAGCGAAAGGAGCGCGCAAAAGCTATAAAGCTTGATTTCCAATGCGAGGTACCGGATAGTGTAACTGTCCACTGGGATGGCAAATTGTTGCCACCTTTCAATCCACACAAGTCTAAAGAATAACGTCTACCGATTGTTATAACGTATGAAAATAAAGAGCAACTCATCACCGTGCCCAAATAGGATAACTCTTCAGGCAGCGAGCAGGCTTAGGCAGTGTAAGATGCTATTATTGACTGGAATCTTACGAGATAAAGTTTAGATTCTCTGTTGTGATACTACTATTTCAAATACGGTGCCCGAGTGCTTCTCGAATATAAATGCTTGTTTTTGCTTGCCGCCATCGCGCCTACGAATTTTTGTTAAAAGGCATGTTGAATTAAAGATAGAGCAAGTGACTACAATACATGACATTCCAATGTTTAAAAAGTTCAGTGAGAGCTGAAAAGTGTGGATCCCGAGAAAATACAGATTCATACTGAAAAGCTATCATGCCTGAATATTTCAAAAAATGACAAGCTGCTAGAACTTTATCGACATGAATTGGCCAAAGAAGTTGCTAGAGACGACTATCGAGAATTAATAGAACTTTCAATAATATTCCTTGGCGGAGATGCAGGGAAAAAATTTAAGATTCTACCACCAGGCGCGGTGCATCAATCTTATTAAGTTCCCAGTTCTAACTTTCTAATGAGAATAAGGCAGCTCTGTTAGAATCTGCCTCTTGATCGTGACAACATAAGGGAAATCGTGGTTGCAATGCACTTTAGCGTTAAAAGCATCTAATCAGGATTAATGATTTTCAAAGGCAATGGAGTCTTACGAAAGAAATGACAAAACTATACTAAGTGACATATAAATCCGAGCACCCAGTTTGAATGGTTTTATTTTAATAAAATTTTGTATAAGTACTTAATGGAGCATAATAAATAAATGATAAAAATTTCAAAATGATTGCACTGCTTTAAGCCCTTTGACCTTTAATAATGTGTGGATGCACCCTGATGTGCTACGCATTCTCCAACGCGCCTAGGCATGCTTCTGATTAGGTGGTCAATGTCCTC